ATAGAACCTCGCCGTCCAGCCTGATGTCCGGACCTCCTCGGACGGACGCTCGTCCCAATGTAAAGTATTGGCCGACGCAGAACCTTTATTCGGGGTGCGAAGGAAATTGAAAGTTGCAACCCCACTGTTGTACCGTTTAAAGAAAATAGCTTGGTATAGTGTTAGCATTTGCGTTGTCCGTTCACCATCTCTCATTACCAGGGCCCGGATTTTGATGACCTGAAAATATTTAAAAAAAAATGACCTATAGGATGACCGAAAAATCCAGAAAAATTACCTAAAGCAGAAAAGAAAAACTCACTTCGCTTCCATGTTATTCACATTTCAGAAAACATGAAGAAAAATTCCCTAAAATGGCAAAAAATGACAAGAAATACCCTTAAAAGTAAAAAAATTTACCAAAAAATTACCCCCAAAATGAAAAAAAATGACCTTAAACCTAAGAATGCCAAAAATGACAAAAAATTACCTATAAAATTTACATTTCTGTAACCAGCAGTTCATATCTGAGATTTATATATTTAAGAACATCGCATAAGATACAAGGAAAAAAGATGACATGTCATAAAAATCCGGGCTATGCTCATTACCTTCGTTTTCCTCTCCCCCATACGGATGGTAAAAACAGGTGAAGATGACTTTTTCCCTGTGCTTAATTAAACATCACGTCATGAAGCCGTTTGGGGGATCGGATATATGGCTCCACCTTTTTTGAGCTCAGCACAAGATGGAGGTGAGTCGTTAGCGTCACACCCTTGCCTCTTAACCTCCAGGGTAAGAGCCCCCGGTACCTTTTAGATAGGCTCTTTGGGCCCCAGCGCCTGTCTCGACGCTGTGGAGTAGAGTGAAATTCTTTGCCTTTGCCCGGAATCGAACGAAGGCCGTGCAGGTTGTCGCTGTACCACCTCTCGAGGATAGGAGAAGCCCGTAAGATCTATGCTACGGAGTAACGGTCAAGAGGCGTTCGATTCGAACCTCGGCTGAGGTTTTTTGTGGTTTTCCTCAACTCTAGCCAAATGCCGGGACTTTACTAGGCTCCACCCGGTACCTTCCAGATGCTGTAAGGTGTAGATAGTGACAGCGTTGAGAAATGAACCACGAAAGTAACTGCTTTCGTATCTTGAGGTGTGCTGCACATACGGAAGCCGTAATGTGAACCAGTGAGGCGAGGCTGTCTGATTCGTGTTGAAACGGGTAATCCGGGTAAGAGCAGACGCTAGCTGCATATACATCCAGTGCGCAACACGCAAGACGGCGGGATTAGATCCCCGGCGTCCAATCCGGCCCTGGGGCCCATCCAGTTGGGTACCTAAATCTCACTCACCTCAAAGTAATGTCAAGTTTAGTAATGCGTGGAGCTATACCTCCACTCCGCTGCACGTCCTTGTGGCGTCGTGTTTGTTGAATTAATCTGAGGGATAACTTTATTTTGACTGTTACTGATCCTATACATTTTCTCGTGTCCCCCACTTGGCGGGGGGTTGGAGTACGGGTTGGCGTAAGGAGTAACGGTCTAGATTTGTATTCTGGAGGTGTTGGTACGTGTTGCGGTCGGAACACTGGCTGTTGTGGGATCCGGTATAGCGCAGTCGGTATAACGACTGCCTACGGGCTGGACAGCTGAGAGGTCGGAGTTCGAGTCCCGGTAGAGTCAAGAATTGTCACTTCTCCATATCGTCTGGGGTCCACCCAACCTCCTATACAATGAGTACCTAGGGTAAAGCTGGCGGGGCTTGAAGCTGACCAGTATCCAACTAGTGCTGAGGTCAAGAAAATGTTAATCTATACATTCACTCCCCTATACGCCTTCATGGCGTAGTGCTTAGCTAGTTAAGCACAAGGACAACTTCACCTTTTGCCTTTTACACTGTATGTTGTGACAGGTTTTTAATGGTGTCCCTCAGTCTATTCAGGCAGATGCTGGCATGATACATCAATTAGATCATGATCGCTTTCATCCGGATCCTTTCCAGTTCATCGATTGTCTATTATCCCATCATCCCACGGTGTATAGATACTCACACTCTCCTGTTCGTGAGGATACTGCATCTGTCTGGGTACACGTGTTGTACACGTTACGTTGTAAAGCGCAAGACGGCCCGAGCAGTAACGGTTTGGTTTGAACGAGGCAGAGACAGTAAATAGGTTACAAATGAAAGAAAAACAGCTGTAATGGATGTAATAGGGTTTCTGTGTGTAACACTAGGTAGCAGCACAGTCTAGTTAGCAGACTCGCATGCGCATGTACAGAAGCTGATTTCAATAGTGAAATTGGTGACACGTGCTTGAGGAGGGTATTACCGAAGAGCAACGTTCTGTTGTGCGTGTTTTGTGGACAGAAGAACTCAGTGCAAAGCATATTCATAAAGAAACGTTTCCTGTCTACGATGGGAGGTGTTTGTCGCGTAAAGCCGTTCCACCTTTTGTGGCAAACGTTTCGTTGATGACGAGGTTGAAACCGAAATGTGGAAGTGGCTGAGGCAACGACCAGAAGACTTCTATGCTGCGGGTTTCGACGCACCGGTAAAGCGATGGGACAAGTGTATCAATGTTGGCGGAGGATATGTCGAGAAATAAATGTTTTTCTCAGGTTCAAGTGTCACATTTTTTCACGTTTTGTGTCCATTTGTGACCTTATTTACTGACTGGCCCTCGTACTTGAGAGGTGCCAAGTTCCAATGTCGGCCGGGCACAGACTATTCTGATGAGATTTTGCCGTGCTTTGCCTCAGTCCCTTCAGGTAAATTCCGGGATAGCATCCAATATTATACCACGAATATTTCCTTCCATATCAGTAAACGGTAACGTTCTACGCTCTACAGTCTGATCTGCATTCAGCGTCCTATGTAATCATAAATGTTGTAACAAAATACAATACTAAGTAGTACAATAGATACTTGCTTTCCTAACTGTTCACCATGGAACCCTTTCGCACTCTAAAGATGTTTACGGAACCCCAGATAAAATTATTTTACCTGAAGCTAAGACACCATAGAAAGAATAAGTGAGACTAATGATAAATAAATGTTAAACAAGGACATGAGAGCAGCATAAGCGATTGAACTGTTCTGCTTTCAGGGGATATGTCACGGTATTATTTGTTGTTTTGCGGCCAGAATGTTTCGGCTGTTCGTAAACTCGGCTAATTTGAGAACTGTAAAGATAAACGTTATAAGCACGCAGGAAATTTTAAAACTTTATAGTAGTAAATCTTCAACGACGTTAATTTTTTTCCCAGTAAATGAAATTAAATTTGTGTCTTTTTTTATTGCTAGTGGAGTGGGACCAAGTCCCTTGTACTGCGGCCACTTTTGGCCTATTGTACCAGCCCCAGATGATAGGTGATGGTGATTGTGGAGCAATTGGTGGAATGAAGATTGGCAGGGGAAACCGAAGTACTCGGAGAAAACCTGCCCCAGCGCCACTTTGTCCACCACAAATCCCACTTGACCAGACCCGGGATCGAAACCGGGCCCAAATTTGTGTCTTAGCCGATAATCTGGTTAAGCTTAACTCGCACTTAAAATTCGGCGGTATATTGCAGTATTTTGAGGTTTTTGCGAAATTAAAAATATTTCGAATTTTATGGATGTGTACCAGTTTTACATGTTTGGAACGATCCACAATCATGAGTTCCCTTGTCGAAGTAAATCATAATCCGCCAACAGTTCTGAAGCCGGCGGGGATGTGTGGGCAAAGAAGTGAAATCCCGAAATATGAAACTGTATACGATCTACAGGATGATTCCGAATTATTGTCTGGGTTTCCATTGCCTATAATTTTCACACCGGAAACAACAAAATAAAATTGCTTGCGGAATATGAAAGTGAAACTCGGAAAGTTTTATTACCCCTAGAATCAATCCTGCATAATGCTAAACAACTTCAACATGCTCGCCTTTCGTGACACGTAAGGTTTGAAAATTGTAGGCCACGGAAACCCCCGATAAATCACTCTGTATGTAGCTGTGATGTAAGCGGTTGCGTGTTGAACAAGGCTTTCAGACAGATCTGCAAGGACAAAGGGAGAGGTATGGGCAGCTGTGTTCATTAGATTTTCTTTGGTATATAACTTGCCAGATCCTCAAATTTCAATAGCGACATCTTTTTTCGTGATGGGTTATGATCCGTGATGCAGAAGCCGCCTTCAGAAACTAGTATTCACTCCCCACAGGTTAATTAGCATTCATTTCATTCACCTGATCCATATGAGTCCAACCCGTACATACTTTCTGTTTCTTCTAGATTCCGTTTAATATTATCCTCCCATCCTTACATCTCCATAATTGCCCCTCTCTTCACGTTTATCGTCTGAAATTCTGTACACATTTCTGATTTATTACATGTGTGTTATATGGTCTTTCTTATGCCGCTCTTCTAGGATTGGCCCAATAATATTTGGTGACGATTAACTAATGGAGCACTTCCCCTCTTCATTGAGCCAACATTTGCCTCAGTACCCTGTGTTCAGACACCTTCTATATGATCATTTTTAATTCGTGGGGTGGGGTGAGGGTGATTCCATTTTGCACGCCTATCACTTTTGGGCCTGATATACCAGCCCCGGATGATAGGTAGTGATGAATGTGGAGCAGTCGGAATGAGAATTGGTAGGGGAAACCGAAGTAATCGGAGAAAATCCGTCCCAATGCCACTTTGCACGTTATAAATCGTCCATGACCTGATCTGGGATCGAACCTGAGCCACCGCGGTGGGAAGCCGGCGAATAACCGCCTGAACTCTGGCACAGCACGAGGCTGAGTTTATGTATTATATTTGCTTCAGTTAGACTTCATTAATAAAAATGTAAGGCTTTGTATTCGAAATACACGCATTTATTTTGTTTACTATTTAATATTAGTTTAAAAGAAGCAAGTCCTTTCATCAGGGACTTGATATGGTTTTCTGTTCACTGCCAGTTGGCATATACACGCTGCCGCCCCACCCCTTGAAAATAAATTGATGAATGGTATCTAAAAGTCCACCATATTCATTCCTTAGTGACCGAAGGACGTCCACGTCGAAGGTCCTGGCCCTCGATGGTATAGCGACGTCCGCTTCGCTTGATGGCGCCGTGGAAACACAGCGCCAACGTGCTGAGCGGATGGCGCGGTACAAAGAGCAGCGTCGACAGCAGTTGGCGTCTCAGTATGGTTCTCGAGACGATGGTGGAAGCTTCCCCGTTACACCACAACGTCGTTTCATTACGCGCAGCGCGACCTCAACACCTGTGAGGAATGGAGAAGACAGAAGTGGCAGCGGCAGTAGCAGCAACTCTGAGCAGCCGTCACCATCCAGTATCCCGAGAGTACGCACAACTAGGGCTTCGCGGTTGCGGGCCGCAGTCACAGCTGCAGGTGCATACAGTCAAGTTTTTCTTGGGAAGATAACATGGGGTCTGGCATGAACTTTATTCTGTACAAATCTCTTACCGATTTTGCTGCTGAATTATTAGTGCTGGGCTGGGCATGTAGTACGAATGGGGGAGTTGAGGAATGCATGGAGGATATTGGTGGGAATGCCCGAAGGAAAGAGACCACTGGGAAGACTAAGGCATAGGTGGGGGGACAATATTAAAATGAATCTTAAGAGAGATATGAGGTAATGGTATGGGCTAGATTGATCTGGCTCAGGATAGGGACCATTGGAGGGCTCTTGTGAACACGGTAATGAACCTTCGGGTTCCATAAAATGCTGGGAAATTCTTGAGTAGCTGCAGAATTGGCGGATCCTCAAGAAGGGCTCAGCTCCTTGAGTAAGTACGTAAGTTACAGCTGTATGAAACTACAGCAAAATATGTTGCTTCTACAGTGACACTGTTTGCAGTTCTTAATTTATGATAGGACAGTAATTTTTAGAATAAATGCTTGGGTACTTTGGCTCAAGCCAAATGAGTTAATTGACTGAGCTTTGGAGCCAGGAGTTAATAATATCAAGAAGGGATGCACTTATATTGATGTCCTCAGTTAACATGTTACTGCTGATGACCATATATCCTAGCATTGCTTCTTCTATTTTGCAGAAAATAATGCTCAAACTGGTAAGGATACTTCCGTGGTTCCAACTCGAAATGGCAAGAATACAGGAACTGCTTCCCGTAGTGTTGTCGCCAAGGAATGTGTTCTTCAGCCTCTTCTGCACTCTCTGAGTGCAAAAGACTTAATTAAGGATTCTTCAGGACTTTCTCCTAGAAAAGGCAATAGTTTGTCCTTGGCACAGTCTCAGGGTGGCAAGGATCTCAGGGATTTGTCAGAATCGTCACTTAAATCAAGGGACGGTCGAGATGCTACAAGATTTTGTCTGACACGATCTCATAGCGGAAAGGAAATACTTAGGGACCTAAGTCTGTCGCCCAGATCTCATAGTTCCAAGGACTCAGGGTCAATTCTTTCTCGCTCTCAGAGTGGCAAGGAACTTGGTTCATCTGCGCTTTCAGCTAGACATCAGTCAGGGACAGAAATATCTGGATCATCACCACGACCTGTGAGTGGGAGAGAGCTTAATGATGGAGGGAGCCCTTTTCGTTCTCTCCTGGGTTCTGCCACGAGGGCTGGAGTGACCGACAGACTGACGTTGACTCCCAGCACTGGGACGACAGGATCCTCAGATAAGGAGGTGAGTACTTATTGGCATTCAAATTGCATTGAACTCTGAAAAAGTTGCGGGTTTCGGACAGATACTTTCTAACATTCATTTGCGGATTATAAGTTATATGTCAGTTATAAACAAACATAAACAGTTTTTTAGAAAGTTTTTATTAGACTACAGATCTAAAACTGTGTTAATGTGCACAGTATAGCCCCATTTTCTGTCATATTTATATTATGTTTGTGCTTTGTATGCTAGTCAGAATCCTTCATGGACGCTGGCCTGCCAAATTGATTTGCCATGGGCCCAATTCCTATGACCACCAAGGCCACCTGACTTCGCGCTCTTGTATTTCTCTTTATGGGATATAATGATGCATACTGTCCTTGTTCTTGCTGTGCTGTACATCACTGGAAGGCTTGCAAGTGGACAGTGGCATGCCTCAATTGATTTTGTTAGAACTTTTATTTTATGAAAGGGGAACAATGTAGAAACCTTTCAATATTCCTGAGAATGTAATTTTGACACATACTTGACGATCCTGCCTTTACTAAAACCAAATCTGTAAATTGTTGAAGATGATGAAGTAAGTTTATCGTTACGTCATACTGTATTACTGTACTGGAGCTGCCCAATTGTTCAGAAACAGCTAATTAGATAATTAGTTTTCCACTTTACAAACAAACCTGTATGGATTTTTGGTCTGTTCATAGTGAAGAGCTGCAAAAACGCCGTTACTCACTTCACCAAGTCTCTGTTTTTCTGTCTAGCTGTCTGCATGGAATACCTTGAACACCACTAAGCAGATTTTTTTATTAAAATTGGGGTATTTTGCTGTTTCCCCAGATGGGACATCATCTCTCCATTATTTTCTACACCCCATGTTTTTTTTTTTTTCAAAACATACACCTATATGTACACAGATGGCTCACCAACCACAGGCATTTTGACCCGTAAGATGTACGTAATGTCTACTTTTGTACCATCTGCAATGCTGCTTATGTTCATGGTGTAAATATCCAAAAGATGTACTAACATCAGTTTCTAAAATATGTGGACATGCTCCCGTTTTTGGTAGAAGTCAGATAACAACAATGGGTGCCTTACATGAAGTCCTACATTTCTGCACAAATTTTGAATCTAACCTGTCAAATATTTATCAGTCAAAAATGTTATCCAACGAGAACTGTTGATATAAATGAAACTTCAGGATATCTGAGTTTCAGAATTTGCCATGAATGAGATGAGACATGCGTTTTATTTTTAATATACGCCTTCGTTTAAGTCTTTAACAGTTTTTTGAGAAAATTGAACGAAAGTGACCAAATATTCCAAAATATTTTGTGCTATACCAATCTAAATTTACGATTGAAATGTATTCTTGAATTCTTCCACCGCCGAGATGCAATAGAGAAGTTATTCTGATATAAAGATAGTGTTGTAAACATTAAATAGTATATATATATATATATATATATATATA